GAGGCAGAGAGATCGCGGCCGTGAACTCAAAACGTTGTCGTAGAGGCCTTAAGGACGGGGTAGATCGCGGTTGCGATCCTTGAGTCGCGGTCGCAATCTTCTTCACAGGCATTTTTCACATTGGCCGTGATTCGACTGGGGAAAGTCTCTGCTCATCCATGGCTCCTTCCTCGCGAAGTTCACGCCCTGTGGCTCCAATATCGTGGTCGTGATCTTTGGCTTCTGGGTCGCGATCTTCAACGAGAATTCACGACTTGAGATTTCGGCCGTGATCTTTGCCTTCTAGGCCACGATCTTTGTTCCTTTTCCATTTTCTACACTTGTGACCTTGTTTTGTACCTAATGTGCACATTTTGACTAATACACCCTATAATCACCTCAAAATCAAATAGGAACGAAATAGGGATGTATTTGACAATGTTTAAACGCTTAAGCACATGAATTGGCACAAAACATACCCTTACATGTAGGTTTTGATGTCATCAGACCTCTATGATGCCCATTAAGCTATATGGTGATAATACTAGTTCAATCAGGATCGCTACCAACCCAATATTACATGACAGGATGAAGCACATCGAGACTCATATTCATTATATAAGGCAACTAGTTGAAGGAGTCATTCATCAGAGCTATTTGTCAACTGAACATCAAACTGCAGATTTGTTAACAAGAACAGTTGGTTCAAGTCGCCATTGATATTTTGTCTAACCAATTGAAAGCCAAATTTTAGACTCAGTACACACCTTCCTTCCACCCCAACTAATATTTTCTAATAATCCTCTTAGCACCAATCATAATTTCAACGCTGTGTAATTTGCAACATTGTTACTCTTACCCCTCTACCTTGTTGAGGCACCATAATAGAGAGAACAACTCTCCTACAGTCCTACGTTGAAGGTAAATAAGACTCCACGAATCCAGCAGTGTTGCAACAAAGTAGGAGAACAGCTTCCCCTTTCCCCGCTTTTTTCTCAATGAAAAGAAGAAGTAAATCTCCCTTTTATTACATGAATAAGAAGAAGCCACGTATAGAGTGATTGGTGAATATTTCCAGATCACTTCCAGTCAACGGTAGCGGACAGATGTTTGATTTGTGTACCTCTTTTTGCCAAACACGCCATTAACTATTTTTGAGTTTTAACTTCAAACACAATCCCTTCCGTATTAAGAATAAAACCCAACTTTAAGCACAATCCGGGATTTGGATATGTGATTTCCTCACAAGTGCACGGTAAGTGAGATATTAAATAAAATCCAGCTGTGTATTATGAAAATAGATACTGTACATATATATCTATGATATGATTCGACTATACACTCTGTCACTAGCCGTCTGCAATTCGACTATCTACTGCATATTGACACGTGGATTTTTTAAAAGTTAAGTGCCCTGCTGGTATTGAGTTGCTTTAAGATATATGCACGCACTACTGATCTCAATTATCAGCCATACATGCATATGCATGTGTAGTAATGTTGAATTTTGCTGAGTTGAACTGTTTATTTGGAACTCTTATTAGTAAAGTTTCAATAAACTTCTTATTATGGAATACTGTTTGTGGAGAGGTAGGATATCCGGTCATCTACATTTCGACGATCCACATTAGTATAATTTTTTGAAGAATAATATGGAAAGTAAAGATAGGGAAATGGAAAGTTTGAAATGAGTGGAGGAAGAGAGGTCACTTACCTGGAATGCCTAATGGTCTATTTAAATTTAAAAAAAAAAAGTTTATGTTTCACTATTGGGCTTTGGTAGGACGCTGAAGATGTTTCGCGAGCTTGGGTTCATACATACATGATCGATAGATCTCATTCATACCAAATATTGACGTGAGATTGTAAGTTATAACCCCTCCTTAACCACACGTAGTTCTACCACATCTTGTGTTGCTCATCATGCATTGATGGAAAACGCGGGATACAACTTTGCACGCTCGTCTGGATTGTGAAATGCCTATACATGTGATTTGGAGATAAAGAAGCCTTTAATTTGGCCATTTCCTTGATTACGATAAGTTAGTTACACTAGTTGGAAAGAACATATGAATGATTAGAGCTAATCAATGTTAATATGTTTTATATATATATATATAGCACAAAGTGCTTATTAATTAGACTTTTTAATGATTTGATGCAAAATCTGCGCCATGCATGCACCTTTCGTTCCGTTCCGTCAAGGACGCTGCTGCCTCTTTTGCTGTTATTATCATTCAGATGTATAAGCAACAAAACACACTTTGGAGACATCCATTTTTTGTGTGTTTTACTAGTTCGTCTTTGTTTCTTTCACTTAAAAGCACCTTGTCTTACAGTTTGATATACTCCGTGTTGCGACTTACGGTCAGGTATGTGAATAACAAACGAGATTCTGGCATAATCAAATTCAGTATTTCAAATTTCTGGGATGGTTGAAGTACGAATGATATTGATATTTGTTACAAATGCTGTTTTGTTTTTTTTTTTTCAGCTTTTTTGTGCTAGAAGGCAGTTTACTTCGTAGCAACTTCGAACCTTTTGTTTGAAGCCTTCCAGATATCCAATATTTCATCAAATGCCTTGCCTTTGTAAACAAACATAACTACTTTCATTTTTTAGAGGCCCCTTGACTCGACTCTCGTCCATGCTTCTCGAATTGAGCTCCAAAGTAGGCTTCACAAACACGTTCCCAGTTTCCCAGTTTTGGCATAGCCTTTTGATAAGGTTCAAAATTGGTCTTCTAGACTTCCTATCGAGCTCCCAAGCACTTCAATGTGTATAGGGACACTCCAGCTTCAAAACAAGCTATTAATCTCCAATTTCCATTGAGCCAATTGTAAGATATGAATCTACAAAGTAGACACCATGAAACTATTTTTACATTGAAACAACATATTAAGTCGACCTAATCCTAACTGAGGTCGACCGAAAGTGCAAGTTACGGTGACATGCAAGTCACTATAGCAAAGTCCTAAAATATATGTATACATTTTTAAACTCTTTGCTAACAATTTATATTACGATGCACATATAAATGTGCACATATAAAAATAGATTTTAATCCATAGTATACATTATGATTTTTATATAAATTAAAATAAAACTCTACCCCTCTAATTGTGTATTCTTCACTTCTCAAATTCCTAAATCATCCAAATTTCCTCGTTTCTCACAAATCTTGAGGATACATTCTAATTCATACAATAAACTATAATTATTAGGGCTAATACCACTACAACACCCGAACTATGACAAAAATGTCACTTGTATCATATTCTTTCAAATATTCCATTTATGTCCTAAACTATTATTTTGTTAGTGTTGACTGATGTTGACTGTTAGTTTTTAACAAAAAATCCAATCAGCGGTGGCATTTGACATTGAAATTTTAACTCCAATTCTTAATTACTTTTCATCTCATGAAAAAAAAATTGATACGGCCTTCCTCTGCAATTTACCCTAAAAAAATCCTTCACCACCGCCAATTCCCCCATCGACCCACCGCCGATCTCCCCCGCCGACACCTGCCGCATATCCTTCATCTACTGCCCCCGTCCAATCGGATTTGAAAACTTTGGAACCTATCTGGCCATCGAGTCGTTCCATCTCCCTGAACCTTTTTTGTTCCAGTGGCGACGAGGAGCTCATCACCCGTCCGTCCACTCTCATCTCTAACCCCTAATCTCCGAAGTCCCCACCACCAAGGAGCTCATCACCAATTCAGTTCCTAGCCACAAACTCCTTTATTCCCAAATTCCAGATTTGCAGCAACCAGCAGGGGTACAAGAAAATTGGGCGCTTGCAAAAAGAGAAACAAGATCCGGGGGCTATCGACGAAATCGGTCCTCGATGAAATCTAGGCCTAGTTTCGCCGGCTCCCTCGCCCATCGCAGCAGCTTCCTTCCCTCGTTCTAGCTCAACGTTGGCTCCCGACGCGACTGAATTCGCACAATGTTCATCTAACATCCTTCAAACCAAAACACCACGATGGCGTCGACTTCAGGGCGGCTACCGTGCTAGCGAGGAACCTAACTCAGTGACCTCCCATCTTGCGAACCTAGATCTGCCGACAGATTGAGCTGGCTTGGAGGAAGAGGAAGATGAAGTTGTTTCGCCGGAGGAAACAAAGGAGCAGACACCATTGATGCAAAAGCCCAGGAAGGATAAAAGTTTTTTTTTTTTCGAGAAAAAGGAAATTTGATTTTTGAATTTTTTATAAATATTAATTAATTTTGAATTGAAAATCTGACGTGTCAATGATGTGAAATCTACTTGGCCACAACATTTATGCCACATCAGCAAAAGTGAACAACAATTTGACTTCCGTCCGGTCAACATTTATGTTTAGCAGTCAACGAAATTGTCAGGATACAAATGACACGAAATTATCGTAGAATAGGACACAAATGGAATATTTGAAAAAATAGGACGACGCAAGTGACATTTTGATCATAGTTCGAATTTTGTAGTGGTATTAGCCCTAATTATTATATAGATTAAAATATAACTCTTGCTCTGATTCTTGTTCTCCACTTCTCAAATCTCTAAATTATGAAGTTTATTCTTTGCTCTCAACTTTAAAGATGACAAATATGGGTGAAATTGTTTTGAAAAACCAAAATACGTACGTGGATTTTTTCTAAAAATTTGAACAACACCATCTCCCAATTTTCCCCCTCCGATTTGGAACGTGCTCCTTCTATGGTATCCTGGGTCCTCTCGCCAAAAGTTTGCACGATATAAGTCTTTTTCTTGTGTGTGTCTGCCTGTCTGGTGTCATCGGTAAGTAGAATTGAATTTGAATAGCATCCAACTGTACATTACTCACTATTCCAACGAAGACTTTTGCATGCCCTTTTGTCTTTGTGGGTTACACAAGCAAAGCCCACATGCCTAGTCTCCAATGTCTCCTATATATACCCATCTCCCTTCCCTCCATTCTCTCCCTTTATCACCAGACATCTCTTTTACCCTTCTCTGCTTTCCATAATCCTCTCCATCTCAAGCTCTCCACAGCCATGTCCGACGTGGCAGAAACTGATCATAAAAACAAAACTGCGCTCGAGTTCATCGAGGAAGTGACGAGCAATGCCGACGATGTCCAAAACGAGGTTCTCGCCGAGATCCTGGCAAGAAACTCCGGCGTCGAGTACTTGCGAAGGTATGGCCTTAACCGGAGCAACAACGTCGACAAGGCCAGTTTCAAGAAGCTGATCCCTGTAGTCACCTACGAGGATGTGAAGCCGGATATCGACCGTATCGCCAGTGGCGACACTTCCCCCATCCTCTGCTCCCAGCCCATCTCCGAGTTCTTAACCAGGTACGTACGTATTTCGTCCAGCAGCTGGCGTGCATGTATAGAATTTGTTCCAGTCCTATTCTTCTTCTTCTTCTTCTTCTTCTTCTTCTTCTTAATAACCAGTTTAAAGAGGTTCAATATTTAATATTGCCACTTTGAAAAACTTGTTCGTACTCTTTATATCTCAACCTTCAGCCACCTATATTATATTGTATTTTAATTATTGGAGCAAGTCCTTTGCTTATGGATGAATTCCATTTTGATAATAAACTAAGCAGCAATTCATAAAATAAAAAATTCATATTCATAGTTGTTTCTCATCAAACTATACTATATGATATTAAATTATAAGAAGGGATTAGGACTAAGAATTTATAAAAATATGATAAAAAGTTTCTCCATTTCCACTTCATTCAAAATTTCAGTCTTTCTGCGCATACATATCAGCATTCTTTCCAACCATCATATTTTTTACTAACTCCATTTTTCTGTTCTTTTATTATTTTTTTTCTTCGTAGATCTAATGATCTAAATTGAAAGAATACTTTACTATCTTTATATTAACTTGAAACTTTGGGGCAAACAACCAACGAATTAAGAAAGGGTAGTTTAATTTTTAGTTAATTTTTTCATTTTTCAATAATTCAATTAGAATGTGTCACCTACCCCTACCACACTCTCTTTTTTTCTTTTTTCATTCTCCTACTATTCTTTATTGATCTATATTTATTTATTTCTTCTAAAATTCAAATTTAGATTCCTGTCTCATCAAAAAAAAAAAAACAATTTTGATTCCTGTGAGCTAAAAATGTCAGACTTTATGTAATATATATGTGATCTGAAAAGCATTATCACACAAACTATATTATCTTAAAAAAATAGTCAGCTTCCTCAAATCTAGTATCCACACATAACTTTTCCCTCTAAATGGTCAGTTTGTCCTTGATTTAATACCTACCCTCTCGCTCTTCCACAGTTCTGGGATGTCGGCAGGGGAGAGGAAACTAATGCCCACGATCGACGAAGAGCTCGACAGGAAATCCCATCTCTACAGCCTAATCATGCCAGTCATTAACCAGTTCCTTCCCAACCTCCAAAACGGCAAAGGAATGTACTTCCTCTTCGTCAAATCTGAATCCAAAACTCCATCGGGACTCCCAGCTCGCCCGGTCCTCACTGGCTATTACAAATCCCGCTATTTCGCCCGAGCCAATGATCCCTACACCAACTACACAAGCCCCACCGAAACCATCCTCTGCAACGACACCCACCAGAGCATGTACTCCCAGCTCCTCTACGGCCTCGTCCTCCGCCACAAGGTCCTCCGCATCGGGGCGGTTTTCGCCTCGGGTTTCATCAGGGCAATAAAGTTTTTCGAAAACAACTGGCCCTCGCTCTGCAAGGATATCAGAAACGGCACTATTGACCCCAGGATCGTCACCGACCCTGTAGTCAGGAAGGCCGTGTCCAGGGTTCTGGTCGGATCGAACCCTGGACTGGCAGATTTCCTCGAGAGGGAGTGCAGGAGGGACGACACGTTATCGTCGTCTTCGTGGAGAGGGATCATACCTAGGGTTTGGAGTAGGGCTGGCCATTCGGTTATCGGTTGCCGGTTAACCGGCCGGTTAAACCGATAACCGGCGGTTACCGGTTAACCGATAACCGAAAAATAGAGGGCGCGGGCGGTTGGCGGTAGAAGGGTTGGGAAGACCGGTTAACCGGCTAACCGACGTAAATAACCGCCGGTTAAACCGACTAACCGGCGCATCCTCACCCTCCCAAAACGCCGCCGTATGTGATGTGTCTGTCTCCTCCTAACCCTAACATCGAGAATTTGCCAGCCCTCCTTCGCCTTCCACAATCGGCAGCACTCAGCAGTGCAGCACAACAGAATCCTCCCACAGCAGTCTCCTGCCGCTGCCGCGCCGCCCTCACTCTCCCCGTCGCCGCGCCTGCCACTGTCACCTTCGGCCCTCTCCCTCACTCTCTCCTTGCCGCGCGCCGTCGCCGGGCCTCTCCCTCACTCCCTCCCTGCTGCGCGGCGCCGCCTGCCCCTGCCGTTACCGACCCTATCCCTCGCTCTCTCCCTGCCGCCGACGCCACAATCTCCCTCATGCTGCTGTCGAGGAGGAGACGCCTGCAGCAGAAGAAGCTGTCGAGGAGCCAGCTATTGCTGCCGCCGAGGTCGTGGCAGAGGAACCCAAAACAGAGGCAGCTGTGTTGAGGAGAAGCCAGCAGGGGAAGAGGAAGAAGTCATTGTGGAGAAAGCTGAGGAATGAACAATTAATCAAGGAGCTTGGGATCTAATCGTATGATGATTCGAATGGATTGGGGGATGTGGAAATGGATTTATTTTGATGTTTATTGGGGATCAATTACCCCACGGGAGAAACGGAAAACAGGAAAGTCTTTTAGTATCTTACCATCTTTACAGAAAGGGCTCAGACATTCTTTACTTTGACTCAAACACAGCGCATAAAGGGTAACACAGCCAAGAACTTCCTTCCTTCTCTTCTCTCTTCCTGCTCCTTGAATCCACCAAAGTTTTTTCTCACATCTCCATCTCGCGGTTACTTCGGTTAACCGGCCAACTAACCGGTAACCAACCGGTCGGTTGCCGGCTAACCGAAGCTTTTCTTCGGTCGGTTGGCGGTAGTCGTATCCCCTGTCTCGGTTAACCAGTAACCGACATTTCGGTTATCGGTTATAACCGAACTAACCGAAATGCCAGCCCTAGTTTGGAGTAATTGTAAATACATCGATGTGATTGTGACTGGAGCGATGTCACAGTACATTCCTGCCATCGATCATTACGGCGGTGGAAGTCTACCGCTCGTTTGTTCAATGTACGCTTCTTCCGAGTGTTACTTCGGGCTGAACTTGAACCCGTTGTGCAACCCGGACGAGGTTTTGTACACGCTCGTACCGACCATGGCCTACTTCGAGTTCCTGTCCGTTGATCGATTCGTCGAGAAGACAGATCATGATGATGATGGTGATTGTGATGATGATAATTATGGGGAGATCAAGCTGGTTGATCTCGTGGATGTGAAGCTAGGGCAAGAGTATGAGCTAGTTGTCACCACGTACGCAGGTAATTAAATTACTAATTATTTACCACCACTATACATTTGTACAATTTTTTTTATATATGAATTATTGGAATGAAAACTACTTGGTTTCTTTTTGTTTTTTATGTGGTAGCTAGGTCTGTATCGGTACAGGGTGGGAGATGTGCTACGAGTTGGAGGTTTCAAAAATAAGGCGCCACAGTTCACCTTCGTGTGCAGGAAGAACGTCGTCCTGAGCATCGATTCGGACAAAACCGACGAGGTCGAGCTACAGACCGCGGTGACGAGAGCTGCAGTCCAGCACCTCGCGCCGTTCGGTGCATCGCTGGTGGAGTACACGAGCTACGCGGAGACCTCGAACGTTCCGGGCCATTACGTGTTGTTTTGGGAGATCGATAATGGCCATGATCAAAAGGAGCAGTAGTACTGTTCCGGAGTGTTGCCTCGCTGTGGAGGAGGGTCTGAACAGTGTTTACAGACAGGGCCGGGTTTGGGACAGCTCCATTGGGCCCTTGGAGATAAGGGTGGTGGAGAGTGGAACTTTTGACGTGATTATGGACCATGCGGTGACAGAACTAGGGGCTTCCATCAATCAGTACAAGACTCCAAGATGTGTGAAGCGTGGACCCATATTTGCGCTGCTGAATTCTAGGGTTGTGTCGAGCCACTTCAGCCCTAGATTGCCTAAATGGGCTCCATAATTGCAAGTAATATGAATGAGCTCTCGTGAATTTGGTTGGTTGTGGTTAATGAAAGAAGTAATAAATCAAATTATCAAGGTTTAAGAAGACATTAGGTATAAGGCGGACACTGCTGCGGTCTTGTTTAGTGCTTAGTTCATCTAGACATTGTTTAAAGTTTAAACGAGTCTACGCGCTATAAGTAAAATAGTAATTTTTTACTAAATAATGAATTACCTAGCAGGTTAGGGAATTTCAACATTTTGGTAAAGTGATTAAATATCTTATGCAAAGTTCAAGAAGAAATTAGACGTAAAGCGAGCGTTGAGGACTTGCCTAGTGCCTAACTTGCTTAACAGTAGACTAAGCTTGCCCAGGCGTGGAAAAAGATAACTATTTGCAGTTTTGCACGACATGATGAATGGAATCATAACTTAAACACTTTCTCACTTCGGTTGAAATGATTAGTAACTTACTTTACGCTTAAAGAAAAGAAAATAACTCACAAATTCATAGAATCGGAGCTCAATAGCTCACATAGTTCTTGAGCTATTGAAGACGTATAAAATTGATTACGTAGTTGATACTAGAAAACTTCTTTAATATGGATTGTCTAGCTTCATCTATTATGCATAGGATAAACTTAGGTGTCACCTTACTTCGTTGACGTGTTCCCAATACCTAACTAGGTGCGGAACTCCTAGGCGAGGCGTTTTGCTTTGCCTACCGCCTAAGTGTGCCTAAGCGTAAGGTTAAGCGCGCCTTTTTGAACTATGATCTTACGTAACACTTAAAACAAGCAAAACAGGTATAAAAAAAAATTATAGCTCAATAGCTCACAAAGTTAGTGAACTATTTTAAAAATTGAGAGGGAAGTTTGAATTTATTGATAATAATGTTTCCCCTTTATTTATATTCATCGTCTTGCGTGCTCTTCCTATTAATACCTAAGCGTCACCTCAATTCGCCGTTGCGTACTAGATACCTAACTCGCTAAGAAATCCCTGGATGAGCCATTTTGACATTGTCTTGCGTCTAGTCGTTAGTTTAAGTCCGCCTTTTTGAACCATGGTCTATATATATAGTGTGCAAAGAACAAATATTTGCACAAAAACTAATAACGTCCATAAATTATTCAAATTGTTGTTGTTAGTTACGAAATGATATCAATTTGTTTTATGAGTATAAGTTGGATGGAAAGTGGGTTGGATTTTAGTAAAACCCAAATTCAATCCAACCCGCCAATTTCAAAAGCGGGTAAAACCTGCACCCTACCAAGAACCCATAAAAATTGAGTTTTACTCGCTTTCGCCGAATTGGATCGAATTGGAAACCCGTTGTTTCGAGTTCAAATGTCATCTCTAGGTGGAGTCATTGGAAGGAGATTTTGGCGTTAGAGGAAGCCCATGAGAAGCCCATCATCTGAGATCTAACTTTCTGCCGTCTCAAGCTATCTCTGTAGTTGCAATGGTGAGGCGTGGAGAGGGTCATTTCCTGCAAGTCTTTACCATGCTTGAGCAAAAATTTGGCTAGGCTAACTTCATTCTCGTACTCTAGGAACCCATGTATCTTCACTATCTTGAGATGGTTTAGGAATGAACTCAAGCTCTGGACTTGAGACTCCCAATACTGTTCTTGTTCACAATTGGCCACGTCCCACAAGTCCTTATTCCATTGCTGAGATAATAAAAAACAACGAGCAAAAGTAATGAAGTGAGATTACTAGAGATAATTAATTTGTTAATCTATGAGGAAGAGAAGTGATCATGGTATAATGATAAAAAAAAAACGATTTCTGGTTCCATTATCATCGTAAATACAACCACGATGGTAAATGATAAATAACACCTAATACTTATTAAAATAATGTAAATTTAGATAGATGGTTCAGTGAGTTGATTGAAACCAAATTCACAAGAAATAACTGAGATCCAGCCAAATTTGGGGTCTAGTTCACCATGTAATTCCAACTACAAGATCCACCCAGATAATGGACCAAGCCCAATGGTTTATTTAGGTTCAATGCTGGTAACCTCAGTCAATGTAGTCAAAAGAGACTCTATATAAAAGTATTTTGGTGACCTAGAAAAATATGAGCGTAAATTTTAAATTTAAAAAGGGATTTTTTACTACACTAGTAAGCCAAAAAAATGTGATTCTATTTTTAAATTTTTTGATAACCTAGAAACGTAAAAGGGTAAACATGTAAGTTTCAAAATGCAATTTCGACTATATTGACAGCGGTATAACAAACGAAACATTCAAATCTCGAGTAACCGAAAACCACATCGATGACAATCACATTCGCTTAAATGGGGCCAAATTGAATTTGGGTTTAATCAAAACCGAACGGAACTCCAATCCTAACGACGATGATGATAATAACACTCACCCTTCTTTCAGTCTTGTGGTCATTCATGATCTTGAGAACGAGAGTATGCAACGTCGGAGTGCTTCTAAAGAGGAATGCAAGCCCTGCTACATTCTTCTTGTTGAAACCCGTATGCAACTCCAACGTTCGGACATCGCTGAATATTGGGTGCACAAATTGTGCCGAGTACTTGCTGCTCGACAGTATCTGCCATGAATGCACAAAACAAATATGAGTGAAGACAATGTAATTAGTCAAAAATGTGTTGGGGAAAAAATTGACAGTTTATGTTTTAGAAACTCTATCCTATTAGTTCCATATTGGAAGAATCACAGGTATTACTAACTTTTTCGAAATAACTTTTTCACAATCATTTATATATACTATACCTCAATACACTGACTGTCAAGGGTCAAAGAGTCAGCGCGGGAGAAGCCACTCATGAAACTGCAAACGCTGTGAAGCTTGTCGGAGCAAATGTCATCGTAATCATCCACAAAGAACCCAATCGACGCCTCTCGCACCGCCCTCAGTTCCTCCACCGCGCTCTTCCCGGTGATGGCGTTCTGCTCCCACGCCACGAACCGAATCCTAGATCCGTTCCTAATCTCCACCCGCGTCTCGTCGCAGTAAGCATCGAAGCAGCTGGCCACTCTCAGTGATGTCAATTTCGCGCAGCAGATCTCGAGCCCGCGGAGGTGGAAGCAATTCTCGATCGAGAAATCCTCGAGCGCGCGGCATCCGACCTTGAGGTGCCGCAATTCGAAGCAGGTGTCGAGGTCGAGCTTGCGGAGGCAGGGGAAGGAGGTCTCGGTGAAGAGATCTAGGAGGGAGGACTGCTGGTCGTGGAGCGTGACGAGGGAGAGGGAGAGGGAATCGAGGTTCCGGAAGCCGCTGGCCATGACGGAGGACGGGAGGAGGCGGAATCCGGGGCATCGGGATTTCAATTTGAATGTCCTTAGGGTTTCACTGGCGATTACGCCGCGGGGGAAGTTGAAGTAGTCGTCGGTGGAGACTTCGACGTCGAGGTACTGGACGCGGTGGCGGACGGCGAGGCGGATCAGGGAGTTGAGCGTGGAGAAGGTGAGGCGGGCGGAGAAGCGGAGGGAGCGGAGGTCGGAGTGCTTGTGGCGGAGGGAGAGGACGGTGGAGATGTACGAATTGGGGGGAATGGAAGAGCGTTTTATGGCGGCGGCGGTGGTGAAGTCGAGGTCCGGTAAGGTGGACCAGAGGAGGCGCCAGCGTCTGGAGAGGGCGGAGGTTTGGGCGATGGATCTGATTGGGAGGTAGGAGAGGATGTGGTGGAGGAGTGGGTCTGGGAGGTCGGTGATTCGGTCGATTTGCGATGCGCCGCCGTGATCGTTGCCCGGCGGGAAGCAGAGCTGCTTCTTTCGCTTTGCGGATCTCGTTTCCATGTTGGCCGTGAAGAAGGTAATATTGTTCTCCGATCCCCTTTTTTCTTCACTGTTTCATTTAACTTTCTTTCACGCACTCTTACGCTTTGCATCTCCTTTTTCCCCTAGGCCGAGTGATTAGAGAGATCTGTGTGTGATTTCAGAGAGATTATAGTTAGGGTTGAAAGTTTCAAAATTTTGAACGAGAATGTCGTTCAAGTTAGTTATCGAGTTAAATTTAAAGTTCTCTTCATTAGTTGCGTAATTTACATGGAGATCTTATTAGAAGAAAATTAATGTAACTAGTGAATGGTATTAATAAATGAATTGCTATTTTATCCTCCATAATTATGTGACTAAGACTAACCTTTTGACTTAGTCATCTAACTAGCGTCGAGCCTGGTCCACGGTCGAGAAAGCCAAATAATAATCTGGTAATTAGTATGTGTTAGGACGTAAACTTTACCGATTCAAAGGCAAAGGAACAACAAAGTGATGGCGGTGAAGCCATGCTTGCATTTGGAACTAAGATTATCTAGTGAAAATAAAACGTTGAATGATGTGGTGGCACATGGACAGAATTAATCCGGTGGACAGAATTAATACGGTATAACTTTGATGAGGAGCCACTTTGTTACGTCTAGATGTAATGTACAATGACAGGATATGGGAAAAATGATACGTTTAATAATAAGAAAAAAATCAGAATTCAGAAGAGATATGACTTCATTAAGGATATACTATAATTAAGGATCTTTGGACACTACAATCATTTGAGTATCAATTTTACCCCTCTAACATTAGCTCTCAACCAAGATTCTCAACTTGTAGAAACTACTATTAGTCTGGCTTAATAATTCTTAAATCTTCGCATAAGTAATATTAACCAGGAAGTATTAGCTTCTTGAGTATCTTGATAATGTCGTTTTAGACTTAATACTAGAAAAGACTCATAGTTTAAGGTTTCTGTCACTTGCTCCCTATGTATGCTCTCTTCGTGTCACTTATGTCCCAATGTTCGGGAGTGTAATGTTATACATGTCCTCTGCTGTTTTGTTGACCATTAGACTACGGTCAACAAAACAGTCGTCAATATTTTATTAAACTCGTTCTAACCTATCTGCCACGTCATTGACACGTTGAAAAATAGTTTTTTAATCAATATTAAAAAAATTACTTTTCACCTAACACCATATATATATTCTCCTTTTTGTTTTTGCTTTCACTGTATCTAATCCAAATAGGCACGAAGAGTGACCAGCGACGGCGGGGGGTTGAGGGGAGTAGAGTGTCATGAAGACGAGGACAGTGCAGTTTGGGTGCACGAAGAAGAAGTAGCGTCGACGGCGAGGTCCGAGGTGATCGACTGGGCAAAGGTTGCGGGTCGAAGGCAAGATCGGAGGAGGGGTATTGGGCAAAAGCTTGGAGATTTGATTGACCTTCTTCCAGGTACAATAGTACTAATGGCTTAGGAATAAACCTCGGTTGAGGGTTGAAAATCCCAAATTTCATGTTGTCTGCACTCCAATCCTGATTTCTTCTTCATTTTACTCCTACTTTGTCAGCATAAATACAAGGAAAAGAGGGAAGAGCATAAGTGAATCATAATAGTGTTGGTGTCGTTCTCGTCTCTGGAACTGAGAGGAATTCGGGGAGAGAATTCTATCGTTACCTATATTGAAAGGAGAAAATAGTGGACTGCAAATATTTTATTTGGGTCTATAAGTTTCGTGTTTCCGACGAAGGTGTTGTTGAAGCACTGGCAGCAGAGAATGATGAGATGAAGCAACAGATCACCTCACTTGAAGTAAAGGTCAAAAGTTTAAAATTGAGGTTGTCGTGTGTTTCATATTTGTTTACAATGGTCACTTTGGTTGTTTTGTGTGTATGGTTGTATGGTTGAGTACACAAATTTCCTATTATACTCGAGCGAGAGAGATGAGCAAAAATGCAAAACCACATACGAAAGTTGATCGTTGAGCGCAAGAGCTGAGTACAAAAGTCGGTTTTAACAAACAAAAAAAATTTATGAAAGTCATGATTAAGATGAAAGAAATTGGAAGAGAATGAGTTAAGAAAAAGGGAAGAAACTATTAGAAAGTTGGCATGTGTATTCCTTGGAAGTTTACCCTTTTTTTGGTAGAAAGATCGACGCCAAGGCATCTAATTCATTGATATAATAAATCGGGCATGAGAGACCCTCACGATGTCATGGTACAACCATTGTTTCAGTCCCGGGTCGCACACATCGAAGGAATGTGTGCCAAAATCACAAAGGTGACCCCCTATTAGCTAAGTAGTCAGCAACAAAATTAGCCTCTCTATAAACATGCTCGACTTTCACCTCCCAAACAAGATTCAGAAGAAAATTAAACTGATTAGCAAATATGTCGTGACGGTGGTTGTCGTCTTTGTAGTTCCTAGTGATGGCAACAATAGTGGAGGAATCCATATTAAGTTGGACCTTCTTGTAACCATCTTGTATGCCAGCCAGAGTCCTTCATCTGCTCCTTTCAGCTCCGCACAAATGATGGAGCAGACCCCGAAGTTGGAGACAAATATAGCACATCACTTGCCTTGGTGATCTCTAATCAGTCATCACGCAGTCACTTTTCCTGATGGTGTGAGAACTGATCCGTCAGACTGTACCTACACCTGCACTTACTCTTCAGTAGGGGGTTCTAGGCAATTTGCTCCTGGTACTTACGCAGAGCAGGGGCTTTGATGATGTTTGTCATACTATTATGGGCATGATCAAAGATGTTGAACCATCCTTTGGTCCTACACAATAGACCTTGGCCGTTAAACATTTTCCTCTTCCATTCCTTCTTCATTCCATTGCTTCCAATGATTCCAACAGACAACTCCAAAGTCCACACCCTTATCTTCATTCATCATATTAGTCATCAACAATTCCTGGAAAGGTATGCTATGATCTCTGAAAGCTTGCTTCTCTTTGAGTTTGTTCCAGATTTCATTAGCCTTCCTTCATCCTCAGAGAACATGTTCCACAGTTTCCTCTTCATCTTTGCAGTGATTACACCAGCAACTGGTTGTGATGTTTCTCTTGGCTCTTTCTTTGTTGGTAAGGATCCTTTCCTAACGACCAGCCACAAGAAATGTTTGATCTCGCTAGGTCCCTTCCATCTCCATAGCTGCTTCCACATAGGACTTGAAGCCTCGATGTCCACATCAGCAGCAAGGTTATACGTTGATCCGAGGCGAAATCTACCATCCCTCCCCAAGCCCCCACTACAAGAAAATAGATGTTTATGGTGGTTGCTTTGCGTCTAATATTTGTGTCCGTTTCTTGACCGACAAAAGTTCAGGAATGGCACTATGTCGAACAGACACAATGGCTAACTAAAAAAAGCTTTTAAATACAAAAGTGATAGTTTACTTTTTTTTTTATTTTGGTCGTAAATTGAAAAGTTCTATCAGCCAAAACTTTCCCCGCCACCCACCAAAGCTTCCCCGCCAAAACCTAAAATTTTGTCTCAACTCCCAAATCTTCCCCCCTTCTACAGTTCCGCCGAAAACTCGAATAACCCTTACAGCCTTACCCCATCATCTTCTCCAGTGATCCAACCATTGAAAGCCCAATTTCCACCTACAAGGAGCTGATCATAGCGGGCAATTTCGTGGTTCATGATTCGACAACCAGCTATGGAGTTCGGCGCTCGAAATTGAAGATTGAAACCAACTACAGGTAATGTTCCATGAAGCTTGAGAACTTAATCAAGGATGTTATATGGAGGGTTAGCTCTGGATGATGGGGAAGATTGTTTGGCTTCGGGGTTAGTTCCGGTTATTACTTTACTTCCGTATTATGCAACTCGGTTTTCATTCTCTGCTGTATTAGATTCTTGTCTCGTTCGTTTGTGTGAATTTGTTTGGGGTATTTGATGTTTTGGGGACTCTGGTTACAGTTGGAAGGCCGAATTAGGAGTGGTAATTTGGAATAATTATTGCACGTTGTAATTGAAGCGTTCTCAGAAATCCTGAGTTCTCATTATTGTGTAAGGTAATTTATATACAACTCATAGCTGTTACAGCGAGAGCTAAAACCTATGGAATGGAGAAACCAAAAAGCCCTAGAATAGGGGAATAGTATAACATGACAAGAGAGAATAGGGGAAGTGGAGGACTTGACTAAGTCCATGATAGAAGTACACGTCTATCTCTACCAGTAATCCATAGCAGAGAAGGAAGCTTGGTCGATGGTGTTATTGTGGTCATAGACTGCTAAAAGCATCTTTAAGCTAAATCTCACTCGGCCGATCTCATCGCACTTTCAAAACATCCTCTCAAACACGCAAGGCGGTTTACTGTTCATGACATAAATGGTTATAGGTTCCGCACTTCAGGATGAGAGAACTCGTTAAAAACACAAAATAGTGGCGTGTTTTGTGCTTTCGGAACTAGAAGCTATGCTAGTTCAGCCGACAACCACCCATCGGGAGGCATTGTGCCATATTATGGAAAATTAGATGGCATTGTTGAGCTGAATTATTATGGAGCATACTTTGTCACCTTATTCAAATGTAAATGGGCTAATACTACCAATCCTAGGTATGTGAAGAAAGATGCATTAGGGTTTACAACAGTAAACTTTGCTCACTTGATTCACACGGGTGAAAAAGATGATGATGAACCATATGTTGAAGCGACTGAAGCATGAATGGTTTATTATGTGGATGATGAAGTGGATAAAGGATGGAGCATTCCAGTTCACCTTAAGCCAAGGGATTTGTTTTACATGGGTGAAGATGGAGCGAAAACGTATGAATGTGAGACATTTCAGGATCAAGATTTTCCTACTGTCGATGAGAATTCAAATTCAGCTGTGTCAAGGCCTGGTTTAGTTGTAGAGTTTGAGTGATTTAGTTGAGTGTTGTAGTTTGCATTAGTTATGCAATTTGCAGATTGATATACTATTAAACGTTGTGGTTTGTACTGCTTATTTAATATGAATAATGATGTGTTATAGGTAACGCAAAATCATATTGGCTAACATTATAAACATATTTTCCAGTTTCACTTCTATATAGGTATCAAACATGGTCAACAGATGCTGCCGAGAGAAAGGAGAGCCGACGATACTGGACCGTTGAGGTTATATGTAAAAAGCTCATTACATTTGTAGTCTTTAATTAGATTATACCCCCTACGACTGAGTTTCTTTTATATTATTACTTCATTTTATAATTTTGGTAAGACTCGTCAGGCATTAGGAGCACCAAAATTTTATCAGCGCATCAGGCATGGGGGCTGGAAAATTTGAAGATTGTTGTGCTATTTCGTGCAAACCAACCCATTAGAGAAGTTTCAGGCTTACTTGGTCGGATCCTTGGGAACCTAGCCAAGGATTGAAGTCTCTTCCCCATCGGATTTGATAACAGGAACCTTGTTCATCTAAGTTTCAAAGACCGTGTATGGAATGATGTCATTAAGGTACCTCTAGTTAATGCATGTATGTTGTCCTGTCTCTATATATCAATCCCTGTTGCTATATACATATACTGCCAGAGACCTCTTTACATGTTGTTATTCATTCTAATGACTGATTTCTCAAGGGAGGAAGGGTATTTGGTATGTGCATTGGGTATTTGGTATGCGAACTATGTGTCTGGTTAAGGATCTATTGCTCTTTCATTCGTGTATTGATCATGAAGTGGGTAAGTAGTAGCAGGTTTGGTATTCGTGCCTAGATAGAGAAGAGGGGTATGGGCATGGGAAGTTTACATATTTATATACTCATAAATTCTCTACTGTTGTTAGACAAAATAGGATAATGAACTGTTTGAGACTTTTCCTCACATCAAAACTTAGCACAACTTGTCAAGGCACTACTGTTTTCTATCCATTTAATATAGGGCAGTGTAAGACTATGGATTCAAGAGGAGGTGTCTGCCTATGTTTGTAGCCAAAACTATGGATGATAACGATGTATTTGCACATGTTTGCACCCTTAGTTCTTATCCGTTTGCGGCTAGCAGTCGTGTATTTTAGGCCCGTTTTACGCTAGGTTGAGCTACTTTGTCATATTTCAGGTCCCATACGTCGAAGGAAAGGCTAAGCATGAGATTCGGGATGTTTGGAGGTCATTCGGTCGAGCTGGGGGCAAAACACGGGTAGGAGGCCTGAAAAACACGGTCGTGTACACAAACAGGCACGCCAGTGTTTTTATGTGCGAGAGCTGGACTGATGGAAAAGCAAAACACGGGCTGGCCTAAAGAAAAACACGCCCGTGTCCATATTTAGGCACGACCCTGTTTTGGCCGACGAGGGCTGCTGGGGGCAAAACACGGGCGGGCAAAAGTAAAACGCGACCGTGTCCTCGACCGTGTTTTGCCCATAATCGGGTTTTTGAGGCAGATTGAAGCCAAAGGAAAGGGAGAGCTGGGTTTTGGTTCCCAATCACCCAAGGGACGAATCCTAGAGGGAGAGAGAGCGACTTGGGAACATTCTTGGAGCTATTTTGGAGGATTTCTTTGCTATTGGAGCTCGCGAATCAAGCTTGGAGATGGAGATTAAAGATCTAGATCAGATTTCTGCAGTCTCTCTCTTCTCTATGGAGTAACTTCCCTTCACTTGGGTTTTGAGGAACCCTAGTTCCATGTGTTAGGATCTTCCTTGTATGAAGTTTTGGATGCTATATTGTTTGATTATAATCAATTGAGGCATGATTTATAGAGTTAATTGAAGCCTGATCATCTTCTCTTGATTTCTGCTTTAACCTATGATAGATAGAATCTGATTAGGTTAAGAGAGATTCCTTGATTGATAGTGGTGAATTGGTTGTGCAAGAGTCAATCAATTCACTGCTTTGTACTGGAATTCATTCCAGTAGTGGAGATCTGTGTGAATCACCTTAGCAGTCTATCCTGGTGAAGGCTAGTCGCCTGCTGGGTATTCTGTCTAAGAGGGCTTGGTCAGCTTAAGAGATTCCAAGCTAATTTAGGATCTTCCGCAATTTAATCAACAGTAGATCAACCAAAGGTAATTGCAACTTGGAACTAATTGAGGAGTTAGGGGGAATCATACCTAAGTGAGTTCCCAACTTGTAATTAGTAGAGTAGTTAGTAGAGTAGTTTAGTAAATCAATCCTTAATCTAGTTTGCTAGAGAATGAAATGAAGCTGAGTAATAGTAACTCTAGAGACCCGTGGATTCGATATTTATTACTTGTGCCACTATACTGCAGTCCCTTTCATTGGTTACACTTGGGCATTGTTAGGTGTTGTGTTTTAGCGTGTCAACCATGTTCATCTATTACCGTCTACGACCTCACACTCAGGTATGAAAACTCAGTTAAGTGTTTTAACCATTCTAAAACATAAGCTAACAACTTGTCTATATTGTAGAAAATATGCAAGATTAATGCCGAAACCAAGCATAAACATGATACTCCCCACACTGGTGGCTCAAAGAAGAATAACATAAGAAAAGAGGAAATGGTACTAGTATTCAGTTTTATTGGCAAATATGTGACTGCATTGCATGAGATTCATTAGTTCTCCTTAATTCACTCTTTCCTCATTGTTTAGGAAGAAAAATTGGGAAGAGAAGTTTCTAGAGGGGAAATGTTTATGATCACCCATGTGAAGCCAAACGAAGCTTACAGTAGTACTAAGGCACAAGAGATATGTGTAAGAAACTTGTTTATTTTAGCCTTTAACAACTTGTGCATGTAGTTGAAATTGGTCAATGGTTTTGATTTGGTCTGGTTTTTGGGCTCTCTATAGGAGAAAATAAAAGCAATTGAAGATACTGGGACTGTACCTCCAACTGTTTCCTGTAATGATTCTCTTAGCCAGGTGCTTGGTCCTCAACATCCTGGACGTATGAGGATTTTGGGAGGAGGAGTTACTCCTACCCAGGTAATTATGTTGTTGCTGGAAATTTTTTTCCTTTTGTATATGTACTTGTTCAACGATTTTAATATCTTATACTCTATGTTTGTTAGATCTTTGGTCTGTCGTGTCATGGGAATCATTGTTCTTCAAGTAGCACAAGCTCTACTTCTCGGTATGAAGAATTTAGGCAAATGAAAACTGAGCCAAGAGAAGAGAGGTAAAAAAGAATGAAGGTGGAAGATAAAGTGGTTTACATTCTGTCTCAGACGGGAATCACCCTACCCCCACCCCCTCGAGTTTGCATTGTTCAATCAAGTAAGCTATAAATCATTGAGTTGTGTTGAATACATGTGCTTGAAATAGAAACAAATCTATTTTCTTGACGTGCAGTAGCTATATCATTGCACTACAGTAATTAAGTAAATGTTTGTTGGTTTGATGAGTGTGCTTTTTATCAAATTTAATTTCCAATAGGGATGCTGGTTACACTTATGCGTTGCTATTGTGATTTTTATAGTTGTTATGCATGTTATTGATCATTATATATTCTGTGTTGCAGCCTCCCAACCAGAACCAGACTTCATCACATTCCTCTACTCATAAATGGCAACTAGTTAGTAGTTCGAAACTGAAGTTCAAGCAATGAAGATATTTTGTGGCCACTTTGCTTGATGACTATCCATCTTTTTTATGAAGACAATGACTATTCTCGTAAGTGAAGGAACTTGTAGAACCTTGAATGGATAGTATTGTGGCGAATTCTGTAGCAACTTTCATGTAATGGGTGTCTATACTCGAACAATATATTTGTAGCGCTACAGTTATGCGATGAATGCAAGTATCTTCATTTCTAAACAAGCTATATTTTTTATGCAAAAGTTCCAATGGATTTCTTAGTTATGAATCAATTATGCACAGGAATATATATGTTAGAAAAGCCACTGTAAATAACAAATATGTTTCTATTGTTAGTGTTTTTTGCGTCGGTTCAGAGAACCGTCACAAAATACTGGCAGTAATTATTTACGTCGGTTAAAGAAACCGTCACAAACCTATAAACCAAGGCGGCGACAGGTGAAGGTCTCTGTCGGTTAGAACCGACACAAATTTTGGGTCGGTTAAATTAGCGTCTGATAGAACCAACAGGGATTATTTAATTGGAAAATTATTGTTAATCCGCTTTTTTAAATCTGTATCGGTTCTGAATGGACGCAAGTGTGTTTGCTGACGATTATTCCAGCGGTTCTTTAAAACCGATGCAAAACGGATTCCTGTCGGAGCTTTTGGAGTCGGTTAAGTGAACCTCCTCAAAATATTTTTGCGTCGGTTATAACCGACTCTAAATAGACCAAATAATCGACACTAATGCTCTGTTTTCTTGTAGTGGGCCCATATCATTATGTCCTCACCAAGCTCCAGTTTTAGTGCTTCAACCCCTGCAATGAGAGACAGAATATGATCAGGCAGATGGCACTTCAAACGCTCCCAGTTCCACTCACCTGCATCAATAATCCAAGTCGAGACGGGTGAATTCCTCTCATCTGTTGGCAGGTCTGTGGTCAAAAAAATTGTCCAGAACCAAGTCGTTGTCCACCCAGAGGTGCATCCAAAAGCTTGTCGAGTCCCCATTTCTAATACTCCAGCATGAGCTAGTTTTCATCAGAGGCATTGCCTTGACCATTCCTTTCCAGAGATTTTGCTTTTCTTCATATATGTTATCTCACCATTCTTGTGTTTAAGATACTTCTCCTGTAACACTTGAACCCAGAGCACTCCCATTGTTCATCATTTTCCAATTCAGTTTGATCATATAAGCCATATTTAAACACCTCGCAGATCTGAGACCTAACCCACCGTGACTTTTGGGCTTACTGATGTGTGTCCCATGCTAGTAAATGGGTCTTTTGATAAAATTACTAAAAAAATCCTTTTAATGAATAATAAATATGAAACTCATCTTTTTATATACCAACAATAAATGATTTCACCAATATAATAAAGATAGAAAATTGAGAAAGAGTTTCTTTGTCACTGAATGGACAATCCTATCATTAGTAGGACCAACACACCATACACTAAACCGAGGAAAATAGTTATGAAGCATCTAATTTCATAAAAATAGCCATCACCCACAAACACCAATGCATTTGTACTTTTTAGCACCAATTTAATCTAAATGTAACTCGTTTTTGGTTGCCAAGAGACGAAGGAGAATCAATGGAAATGTCTGCAAGCTCATCATCATCACCACCATCATCATCTTTTTTGCTTACGATCTTGACATCTTTTAATTCGTGGCGCCAACACTTGCAAGCCGTTTGACGACACCGGTCAAAGGTTATTTCAGTAAAAAACTTGCATAGGTACTGCAAACAAGTAGAAAGGTCAATCGTCAATACATGAATAACTAGTAATTGTTGACTTCGTAACAAAAACTTAACCCGAGAAAAAAACTACACACCTCGAGAGACGGACAATGCATCGATTTGTTGTTAGGATCTTCGTCTATACATAAATACTTAGGATGACAACTCCACAGTAAACCTTCCATTAAAGCAGCATCTACCTCGTCATAATTCGAAAATCCACGGCGAAATGCGATATCATAGATTGGTACAGCAGGCAAGTCATCTTCAACTTGATCCCAATCAAAGGAACCCTACATATATTGCAAATGAAAAGCGTATCAACCAAATCTAACAATAATCATAGTATGGTTAGTGGAAGGACGAACAAAAAAGTGATAGAACTTCACACCATTTACCTCAGTTGAATATATGAGAAAGAACCAGAGTCGAATGCAGGGGAAGTGGGGGATTAGCTTGGCAAAGAAGAAATTCAAATCCCTGAACTTTTCGATTGTAATACTAACTTTCGATCCCATTGCTAAAAGAACTTCACATAGCTGAGCTGCAACAGGGCTTTGAGCATAACTAATTGCAGGCAGGGAATCCATACTCCCGCCATAGTCGAAATCAACCAATTTCGGAGCATCGAACCGAATCACCCTTCCTGGAGCATCCAAACCCTTCGCTCGATCCCGTAGCCACAGCCACTGAAGGTTAGGATTCACAACATTGAGTAAATTGCCTCCTGCGTTTCCAAAGAAGTCCAATTTCAGTGACTGTAGAGACGGGGATCCGGCGATCAAGTCATTGAGAACGTCCTCTGTCAAACCGGAAGCATCCAGACCGGCTTCGATTTCGAGCGATTCGAGATTTGGCAGTGGGAGAGAGATATCGAGGGCTCCAGAGACGGAGTTCTTCAATGTCAAGGTTTGCAGAGAAGGAGCCCCTGAAATCTGAATCGAATCCTTAACAGGAACCCCAGAAAGTTTTAGGGTTTTGAGATTGGGATGGTTGCAGATCTGAAGAACCCTAATTTTTTCATCCCCTCCTATCCATGGGCCGGACAGGGTCAGCGTCTCCAACAGAGGGGCACTGGCGATGACGGCATTCAGAAGCCGGCCGTCGTCGTAGAAGCTGAAGTCGGCGAGGCAGAGCACCCGGAGATTGATCATCGTCGTGGTGTCGGCGGGTTGCCAGAAGAGCTGAAAGCAGCGGAGGTTGAGAATTTTGAGGCGGCGGTGGTTGATTAATCGAGCCGGGATCGGTGGGTACCCGACGCTTTGGATGTCGACCTCTTCTGGTTCCCTGTTCGCCACCAATTTCAACATGGCGACGACGAAGCGGTAGATGGACGCATCCTCGGCCATCTTCCACACCATGTGGATCCTCACGGCTTCCACTTTCAGGTCCGGCTGGGAATTGAATTTTGTGGAGGCGGCGGCGGCGAATTCGTCAAGCAGCGATTTTGAGGAGTCGCTTGCAGTGCGATTGTCGAATTGCAAAACTGGGTAGGAGCGCCAGAGAAGGCCCCATCGTTTGGAAAGGACGGCGGCTTTGGCGGCTTCTTTCAGTGATGGTAGGAGTCGCAGAATTTGGTGAATGATCTCGTCGGGTAACGCCGATATGCGGTCAGAGCCGCCGCCGCCGATGCTTAGTGTTGTTTGGTTCATCGTAGGCTTTTTTGCATCAGCGAACGGCGATCATCTCCGGCTGGATGCCTCGTCTTTTCCCGTCTAGGTCAACTTATAGACGCTGTTCAAAACTCAAGTCTTCCTCTACTACTGGGCCCAGTTTGGTTATTGAGCTACTACTAAAAGTTCCCAAATTCTTCTAGGTCGCCAAATTTCTGAGTTGGCAATCCTACTAATTTGAATTTTCTGAATTCCCAATATCATCTCCAGCTTTTCTTTCACTCCCATTTACCACCCAAAGATTCCTTGAAGTTACCCCGCGAGGACGGAGGGGGATCTGAAGACTGAATCCCTTCTCTTCTCGTGCTTCTCGATCCTCATCAATGGCAGAATAAACCCAACTTACCGATCCATCCCCTCCGCAACCCAACTCAGCCAAATCAAAAAAACTTCCAAATCCAAATCCAAATCATTCAATGGAGAAACGCGTGGAGAATCTGTTGAACAAAGTCTCGTACGCCAGCATAACCATCGCGACGATCACTCTCCTCATCACCTACCTTCAAATCCCGGAAACCTGCATCCCTCCCGACACCCCAATCACAAAGCCCCACCAGAAATTCCCTTCCTCCACCTGCGATTCCTCCCTCCGCCGCCCTTACCTCTCCCCGGCGAAGAAGAACATCCGATTGTGGTCGTCCAAGCCCTGGATCTCCCAGCTCAATTCCTTCACCAGATTCTTCTCCGACCTCCAATCCACCGGCCTCTTACCCAACCACTCCCGCGTCCTCTGTCTCTCCGCCGGCGCAGGCCACGAGGTCATGGCACTCCACCACATGGGCGTCGGCGACGTGACCGGGATCGAGATCGTGGAATCTCTGCCTTTGGTCAGAAAAGCCGATCCCACTAACTTGCCCTTCTTCGACGCTGTTTTCGACTTCGCGTTCACTGCTCGTTTGTCAGAGGCTTTGTTCCCGGCGAGGTTTGTTGGGGAGATGGAGAGGACGGTGGCCGGCGGTGGCTACTGCGTCTTGGCGGTGGAGGAGTGTGGCAAAGAGCTTGTGGATCAAATTGTTGGGTTATTTCACAGGTCTAAGTTGGTTGGTGTTGGAAATGTAACCTTGATTGGAATGAGAATGACCAGAATTATCATGAAAGTGGGTGATGCATCTTCTTCTTCTTCATGACTCTTCTCTCAGGACTCAGGTAACTGATCAACTCGTTATTGAATTGCTTCTTATGCGTGCTCACTGTTGAATAAATGTACTGGACTTCATTTTGTATGCATTGCAGCTTGCAAGTATATAGTCAAATTTCTTCGTCAATCTAGACATGGCCCTGTTTCATGCTTGTGGTTAGAAATTTATCATCTTCAACTGGAGTCTGGAATTCAATGATGGTAATGCCAAACTCATACGCTTTCCTGTAGTTGTAGGCCAATGATGAGTTAATGCTCTGTGCAAGTTTGGGAATTTGGAGCAGCTTTTTGATATTGAACTATGCATGTTTGTTTTGGAATTCTTGCTGAATGGTTGTGTTCTACAAGGGTATTGAGCAATTAAGATTTCGTTGTTGAAAGCTGGGCGATTACGATACTGTTGAAATTGTTTTACTGCCTGATCAACCCTCGTTCGTTGATCAATCTGCAGGTGGTAGGGTAGAAGCAAACTCCTTAAAGTGTAGACAACAAGTAGCTTCCTGAATGCTTATTTATGAGAGATGCTGATTGTGCTATGCCTGTAAATGGTTTAGATGACTGAAGAAACTCGCGGTTTGTCCACATTATGGTTGTGGAACCATATTGCATCTCATCCCAATCGGTCTTTTGCAAGGTTGGGAGTTGAGAAAGCTTACCAGCACGAGGCTGTTACTTGGCGTAGGCAGCTTCTGTAAAGCATTATCTTTGTTGTTTCTTCCAACTTCTCTTGGACGATGAACACACAAATCCAAGAACTCATTGCAAGGAATAATCGAGGGGCGATGGAGAAGAGAGGAGTTGGATTTCCTATGTGGAAGGTTCACATCCATACAGACTGGAAGACACGTTTGATCGGACTGCTGAATGGAGCACCTCAATGAGACTTGGAATATGATCATCCCTCCAAGGTTGGGAATTTAGGAATGGTCTTTTGAACTGGAACCAAGCCTGTGGAGTTGGTAGTTTTGTTCAATAGTATTTTCTATCTACAAGAAGCAACTCTGGTATATCAACTAAGTTTCACTTTGTATTGAAGAATGAGATCCACAATTAGCAGTATTGGTACAAATGTAGCAAAATCACACCTTTCGAGTTTTTGCCTCTGTTCTCCACTAATTACACCCTATACAGAGACAAAATCATAACAATGCTGCAGCTGGAAAGCAACCAAGTTACCCCTCAGTCACCAAAAACAGAGAGCTCTGAGTTCTTACTGTACAGCAGTTCTTCCCGCAGCAACCAACTAGCTAGACTTCTTAGACGCGTCAGCAGTATCCAGAACTCGAGATATCCCATGAACAATGTACTTACCAGACGAGAATATCTCAGGCGCCACAATGTCAACTCCGTTGACTCTCATTCTCGCTGCCGTGACATTCAATTCAGTGAATTTACCAGCCTTTTTTAACTCGAGATCCTGACCCGGAAGCAGAGTCTTCAACGGCGATTTATCTGGCAATACGACGAGCTCCTTGTACGAAATCCTCTGAGGCAGGATGTGAATTCTGATTATCCTGCCGAGCATCGGAGAAGAAGATGCGACGGACCCGAAATCCGGTGGACTGAAAACGGTGACGGAATTCAGGTGCCGGTAATCGTCAAGAATGCCGTCAAGAACAGAGTTCAATCCGATTGCGAAGGAGACGAACCCCTTAGAGCTCAGCGATCGGATGATTTTGGGCCAGTAGCCCAAATCCCTAAAACCGACGGAATCCATCGCGGTGTGCTCGCCGGAATCCAGTGACGAGAATGGCTCGAGGACGCCGTGAATCACGAGGGACCCATCGATGACGACGTCGGGATGGGAAATCTTGACGTGATTGATCTCCGCCGCTCGGCTTTTCGCGTCGATCTTGGTGAGGACGAGGTTCTTGCCGGGAACGAGAGTTGGGAAGCGGGTCCCCCTCCGGATTTTGAGTAGCTCCGACATGGGGAGGCGGAGGGGAGAAGTGTGGTAGTGGAGAAGTTGCTTCATTAGCAGCCGGGGATTGGCGGCGGCCGATGAGGAAAAGGCAGAGTCTTTGATCGCGAAGACGGTGGATTGTGGGTAGGAGGAGGAGGAGAAGGAGTGAGGGGAGGATTGGAGGAGGGAGGCGGCGAGGGAGAATCCGGCGCGGCGGAGAGAGGTGGAAGCGTTGGAGGAGAGCCGGGGAAGGGTTGTCGCCGGCGGAGGAGAAGGGGAAGGAGGCTGGGGGCTAGAAGAAGTGGTGGTGGTGGTGGTGGTGGAGTGGAGAGCGATGGAGAAGGCCATGAAGGCCAAAAATGTGGAGAGAGTGAAGTAGATTGTTGCTTTCCATCGCTGGAAGAAGGATTCCATTGTTGATTGGGCGGTGGCGATGGATTTTCTTGGAGGTTTTTTTTATTCTAGTTCGTCGGAAGAGAGACTGAAGTAAGTAGAAAGGTGTTGTTCTTTTTGTCCTTTGGCTCGCTGTCTGTCTTCGCTTAGGAATTTGGGTGGGAAAGGAAAAAAGGGAAAGAAGGATATGATGTGATGACCCTTGGAAAATCTGTGGATCCGCTGGATGATTGGGCTTGTTTGGGCTGGGCCAGTTCTCTAGTCGTGTTTGATGGGATATCGAGGCCCGTTTTGGTTGTTAGTCTTAAATAGAATGCACAACAATCCCTAGTTAGTAAATACTCCATTTAATACACGTATATGTACTTGTATGTATTTTATCCATTTAAAATTATTGTATCCATATTATTTTCAAGTCGTTTCATTTATTTTTGTTCATTTGATGGCTCTCATACTAAACGCGTACAAACCCGTATAACACGTTTACTATCCGTATTTAATGAATTAAATTGTTAAATTTACTATTATTTATATATTTATTTAATTTTACAATAATTATTTTTTATATTTTGATAACTATTAACGTACTATTAAACGTAACATTCGGTTAGAGACATAGTAAAATACGCGTACGTAGTTTATACGTAACTTTCCCGTACCGTATTTTACTAACTACGTTTAGGAGCAGCAGTGTCTGCAAACAGAAGTATGGTCCTGGAAAAGATCTTACTTCCCACTTCCCAGCCTCTCCACAACAAAATCATAAGCATTATCACAAGTTCATAGCGCTGGAAGCTGAAACGAAGGCATTACATGAAGGATGTCTGCTTGCATCGAGACTGAACAGTCCATGTTTGATTCGTTCAAATTGCAATGTTCTTGTGGATGCTGTTTATGGTTCGAGGAAATGTTGGCCATGGGCACTGGCTGTAAGGCTGGATGCTATTGTCACTCTCCTTGGTCTCTTACCTTATGTGGGCATCTCCTTTGTTCGAAGATCCAGGAATGTCAAGGCTAACTGGGTTGCTCGATTGTGTTCCATGAATCAGCTCCCGCGGCGCCTGATTGGATTACTGTTTTTAATGTAATATCTCCGCTTTTGTAACCTGTGTTGTTTTTTGGAGATTTATGCAGAGTCTCATTGTAAAAAAACAAAAAACAAAAAAGAAGTCGCTATCTTAAAACAAAAAATGGGGTCAGAGAGAGAAGATAAAGGTAGAGAGAGGATCATCTGCCCTCTCTCCTCTCCCAACGATAAAATGAGCGAAGGGTTACCACTAGCAGAGAAGATCTACCACAACCTTAAGCCTCCGGATGACTCACCGGTAACCTCGCCTACTCAACCGAGCAAGAAAGCAAAGGCTCTGAGTAGCGAAGGGTTCTTGGACCAAGGAAACATGCAAATTTCTTAGGTCACAAAAAGGTAATAAGAGACAGAGATCTCTGGTGAGATAAACCCAAGCACTACATATGGTGAATCAATGAATCAGGAGGCTACTGAAGAAATGAAGTGCAGCCCCACAAAGGCCTCATACAAGGACTGGATTACGGGCAACAAAGAAGTGTTGTCAGAACTGCCGGATGGCGACGATCTAATGTCCGATGAATCCGACATGAAGATGCGGAGGATGATCCAGACTGTGCGATGATTAGGATAAGGAAGAGGACCAACCCCTGCAACGGGTTCCTATGGAGAAGAGCGATCACCTTCAAAGTGTTGGGTAAGGCCTTCCATTTTCCATTTGTGAACAGACTAGTCCAGAACATGTGGGCCAGAATAGGCGGAGTGAAAATGTGGGATATAGTATAGGCAACAGATTCTTCCAAGCTACCTTCGATTCTCAGCTTGATTGGATTGGGTTGGACTTCGATCCTGATTATGAAACAATAAACAACATCTCTGTGTGGGTTAGTGTCTCATGCCTACCACTTGCTTATGTCGATGAAGAAATCCTCAACGATATCAAGAATAGGCTCGGGAGAGTGGAGAAGATCGACTATTACACTGCAAATGGAGTTGTGGGAAACTATGCGAGAATCTACGTGGAAATTGGCCTCAGGAAAAAGCTTATCTCGAAATACAAAATCAAATGAAGAGTGCGCAGGGTGGAATTGAAGGACTCTGTGAAATCTTTTTTGAATGTGGTCGATATGGACACATTCAAGGTAAATGTTGTCTCCGCAGCGCTTCCTCAGGTGAACAGGCGGTGACAAACGGGGAGCAGGAGGGAGAACAACCGTAAAAAATGGAGCAAAAGGAAATTCGACCTGAACTTGTGGAAAACTTCAGACCTTAGATGATAGCCTCACGACCAGCTAGAAAAAATCACCAGAGGAAGAATATGGATGTTAGGAATAGTGCAAAGAAGGAAATAGCTAAGGAGGTGCCTAGAGGGAAGGGGTCTAGATTTGATGTTCTGATTAATGAAGAGGAGATGTCACATCCTCCTAGAAGAACCAAATCGGCAAATTATGGACAGAGAGCTAGAGATGGGAAACTCAACCAGGGAAGATGGTGCGGAGAATCAAAATGAACATCCTGCAAAGAAAGACTGATTAAAAGATAAAGAGTCAACCAAGAGATGATAGTGGTTACAACCAGAAAGGGTAATCTTCAACAAGAAAAGATAACCAAAAGGCTTGCCCGGAGCTGACCAAGAAGGGAGAGGAACGAAATTCCAACCTCAGGTCCAGGTACAGGCACATCCCCTGCAGATCTAGTTAAGTAGAGATTACCTAAGAAGTAGGGACCCCAACTATCCAAAGAGGGAAGTGTTGCAAAGAAGAAAGCAGAGAAAGAAGCCAACCAATGTGCCTCGGTGCCCAAAATTGGAAAAGATGGACTGAGAAAGACTAAGACTCTATCTATCACCGCGCAGCGGCCTATCGATCTCGCCACTAATCAAGGGAAAGAGAACGAGAGCACCATATCTAATGGCAACCTTGGTAAGGGTAGAGACAACCCGAGAAAGATTGACTTCGACAACAACATAACCGATCTTAAGTCAGGACCTGAGAATGTCCACCACTCACCAACAGCTACAGGAGAGAACGAGCAAACGACCATGGGCGTTGTCAATATCTGATGTTTTTGACCACCTGGTCACCGTAGGGAAGTATTATCATTAGTCTATTAATGATTAGTATCTTCTCCTGGAACTTCAAGGGTGCAAGACACCCAAAGTTTCGTTCTGCTTTTGAGTTTTGCAAGGCCAACTATATGCCAATAGTTTGTTGTATTTTGGAACCCACAATTAGTGGTGATAAAGCCCTGGAGGTCATCAAATCCCTAGGATATAATTTATGGGTTATCTCGGATGTTGTGGGTTTCAATGTGGTATCTGATTTTTGTATGACAAGAACTTCAAAATTGAGTCTAGTGAGACTCATAAACAGTTTATCCACCTAAACTGCAGCCTGAATGACTCTGCTAGGTTATCTTTGAATGTCTGCTATGCTAGCCCGAACGAGCATGAAAGAAACAGCTTGTGGGAAAAAGTTAGAGACATCGAAAGACAAACCAATGTTCCTTGGATGATCTTTGGATATTTTAACTCAATCACACAGGCATCGGAAAAGCAATGAGGAGCTAAGTTCAACTCGACCAAAGTTAGTGGTTTCAACAACTGCATTGTTGACTGTGGCTTGATCGACCTCAGGCGTACAGGGTCTAGGTTTATATGTTTTAAAGAAAAATCCAGGGTGAGAGAAAGACTCGACAGGAGCCTTTGTAATGTGGCATAACAGGAAAAATTCCCAGAGGCAGTGAACTACCACCTCCCCAAGTTCAAATATGATTATAGACCAATTCTCACTTGCAACTCCGGCCCGCCTGATGGGAGTAAATTGGTGAGGAGATTCCAGTTTGTTGATGCCTGGCTGGGACATGAAGGTTTTTTTTCCCTTTTATCTCCGAGTCGTTGATGAAAAATCACAATTTTCTTTCTTCTTTGCAGGTGCTGCAGAAAAAACTTACAATCTAGAACAAAGAGACTTTTTGATACATCTTCAGATGGAAGAATAAACTGATGAATATACTGCAATCCCTTGAGTGGAGGAATGAGCAAAACTCGACAAATAAAGTACTGTTGCAAATAAAGAACAAGGGAAGAATTGGAGGATACACTATGGAAAGAAGAACTATTATGGCTGCAGAAGTCGGGGGCTAAGTGGATTTCACAAGGGGACAAAAATACATGCTTCTTCTACACCCCCACCATTAGCCGCTGGAAGAGGAACAAGGTCAAAGTACTTAAGAACGACCTTGGCCATTGGATTACTGACCTAGAGACCCTCCAAAGGATGGATTGGGACTTCTATGTTCAGTTATACACTAAAGGCAGGGAGGAGAAGCCAGCACCAGCTGCTGCAGAATTCCTAACCTTAAATCGGAATGACCTCAATAGAATTTGAACCCACCTACCCCAGAGTAAGTCTAAAGAATCGTCTCTAGAATGAGTAGCCTGAAAGCTCCTGGAAAAGATGGATTGCATGCCCTCTTTTATCAAAGAATTTAGGACGTGGTGGGAGAGGTACATGTTGTTGAAGATGGATTTCAAGGAAAAAGATGGATTTCAAGGGAAAAAGGATAGAAGGGGCACATATTGTTGAAGATCGATCTAGCAAAACCATATGATCAAATGGACTGGGAATTCTTGCAAGAAACTCTCCTAACCTTGATTACTAGAGTGGAATCCCCTAGTTTGATGAGTTAGTTTCGGCCGATAAGCCTGTGTAACGTGGGCTTAAAGTTGTGACTAAATTCCTAACAAAGAAAATGAAACCCCTTATGAATACCCTTATCCAACCTAATCAATCTAGTTTTGTTCCTAACAGAAACATCACTAATAATATCTTGATTTTGAAGGCAACGATGCACTACATGTCAAGGAAAAAAGGATAGAAAGGGCACATGTTGAAGATCGATCTAGCAAAAGCATATGATCACATGGACTGGGACTTCTTGCAAGAAACACTTGAAGCTGTTGGCATTCTCGAAGCTGGAGTTTTCATGATCATGAGTCGTGTCACTACAAAGGAGCTCCCAGTCTTATGGAACAATGGTGAAACGGGAAAAATCACTCCAAGCAGAGGCCTTAAACAGGGATGTCCACTCCCTACCATTTTACTTTATGCATTAAAGATCTTGGACATTACATTGCTAGGGAAGTTAGATAGGGTAGATGGAAACCAGCCTAGTTAAATAGATATGACCCCAACCTATCTCAAATTTTCTTTACTTATGACTTGTCATCTTTGCTAAGGCTAGCCATAAACAAGCCGACATTGTTATGCAATATTTGGAACACTTTTGTGCCACCTCAGGGGAGCTCATCAACAAAGAAAAGTCGTGCATTTTCTTCTTTAAAAATGTGAGGAATGTTGATAAAACTAGCTTGTGTGATCGACTTGGAGTTCAGTACCCGTCTGGTTTAGGGAGGTACTTGGGTGTCCCAGTGCTTAATGGGATAATTAGCAAAAACACTTATCTGTATATTAT